TCTTTCAAAGTTCTTCAGCCCAGTATAGATCATCCCTCCATAATAATAGTAACATAAAAAGTGCTTTGCATCATAGGCCCCATTTTCTTTACAGATGTCCATCATGTCCACATCAAGATATGGAAGGGCAGGCTTAAAGCATTTTGCCAGCAAACAAAGCTGTGAACAAATGGATATTAAATCATCACTTTAATTTTACTTTGGGAGGCATTAGCAGAAAGAGAAAATGCACAGATTTCAGAAATTTCCAAAAAATGCAATCTGGTTTTACATTTTATTGATTAAAATGATCTTGATTAAATGTCAACACATTATAGGTTAGTAGCTCTTATCTGAAATGCTTAGGATCAGAAGTGTTTTGAATTTTGGAATATCTGCAGAATACACACCAGTTGAGTATCCCTAATCCAAAAACCTGAAATCCAAAATACTCCAGTGAGCATTTCCTTTGGGGGCCATGTCAGCACTCAAAAAGTTTCAAATTTTAGCACATTTCAGATTTTAGATTAGGAATTCTCAACCTCTACTCTATTTTCTTGGTTTTTTTTTTTTTGGTTTTTTTGTTTTATTTTGTTTTTTTACCCTTAGGAGAAAGGAATCTATTTTCTTAACCACAAAGAATAAAAGAGCATTGTTTTTATAAAAAATCAGCCCACTATAAAGTGGATGAATTGAGAATAAACAGACTTCTGCAGACAAAATTCAGTTATCATTTAACCCACCCATCTGTTTAGAGATGGGTAAAACTGTGTATCCTTTTTCTCTTCGTTGAACTGGTGGAATACAAATAGACCAGCATGGCGTGATAAAAATAGAAGTCTTTTCTTAAATTAATCTTTTTCTGTTTTGATCCTTTAGGCAAGTATAGTTCATTTCCCTCGTGCAATTCAAGAAAGGAAGCACTTAGCAAAGTTAGTTAGACAACGGTGACATAGTGTAGCCTTATGTACAAACTCATCAAGCTGTACACTTTAGTACTTTACCATAGGTACTTTATACCTCAATCACAAAAATTTTTTAAAAGATTAAAAAAAGAAAAAAAAGTACATCTTCATGCAAAACTGGAACATGTGTCTGAAATAATCCACATACCATGTTATTCATTTAAGAAACAATGTAAATAGCCCATACAAAATTGTTAAACTATGGTATACTCATATTATACCATATTTTGAAACTTAAAGGACAGCTATAGAATAATCTCCAAGATATATTAAATAGAAAAAAAGCAAGGTACATATAAAAGTTTGCATAGATTAAAATTCGTATAAAAAACTAGAAAATATATATTCACATTTGCTTGTGTGTACATAAAATATCTTTGGAAGGATACACA